ATTAAAAAAATAAATATCTTCTTTTACATTTTTCAGTAACTTTAACATCATAAGTGGCGCCCGCCATTAAGTTGCTGAATTGTATCCTTTCACTTCACGGCAAAACAAAGTTTCATTTCTCAAAACCAAGCTATTAAACTTATTTTCCTATTCACCAAAAAAAAAAAAAACTTATTTTCCTGCATTTAAAGCGACAGCATCTTGCTGGGCTGCAAACCACGTCCGAAGAAAGACGTTCTGAGTCATTTCTATTGTCAGAGTCACAACCACTCTCTTTACTTTTCTTTCTTTTTATTATTATTATTATTATTATTATTATTATTTTTTGTGATAAGGGTAATAATTAGTAAGTTAGTTGTTAACAATTAAATTTTCACATCGGTGAACATTCTACCCCTTCAAATGAGACATACGATCATTAGACCACTTGTTGGTAAAGTTCACGACGGTGATAGAATTCGAAACTTTTTTTACCGCCTCACCCAAACCCTAAAACTTGGGATTAACCATTGGACCTAAGTCCATTTCGCATACTCTCTTTACCCTCTTGACAAGGAGATTTAGATGAAAGAGCGGCAACAACTTCATCTTGGGTTGACCAATTTACCACATGATCCATATTTTCAACCGTCCGCGGCAGATTTTGGAAATGTGTCTGTTGCATTGCGATTTATATGACTTTCATTTTCAGAAGACTTATTCTTTGCAATTATCTTAAAAGTGATTTATAAATAATAATAATAATAATAATAACCATCTTTAAAGTGACAAGTAGATATTAAAAGCAACTGAATTGCATTTTCTGAATTATTGGTATATCCCTTTAAATAAATCCCTACAAGAATCAAAACTTTTCAAAACCCAACTTATAAATATAAAACTACAAATATATATAGGGAATTAAGAACAGCGAATATCAATTTTAATATTTAAAAAATATTACAATCCAAACTTTAAATTAAATTATTGTATTTTAAAAATATCATGAGACAATAAAACAATAGTATTAATTAAAGTTAAGCAATCTCCACACAAAAGTAGGAATTGCGTTTTCTTTAAAAAAAAAAATTGATTTTGTGGCCCTGTTTGTAAGAAAAAAGGTAATTAGTTAAATAAAACGACATAAGATAAGAGTAAGATTTTAAATATTTTTTAGTAGGTATTAATATGCACTATTCTATATTAATTTTTATTGAGTAGGTACAAATATGCACTATTCTATACATAAAAATGGTAGATATATCTCATTACAAATGCAAAATGCACCTAAGTGGAAGAAAGAAGCAGATGTCTTAAAATTGTTAGAAAACAAATTGACATCTTTATCCTCTAACAAGATAAGATGATCTAACCAAATTTGGTAGAAGAAATATATTAATATCTACAAATTTCACAGAGGAAGCATCTTAAGAAAGTTCCTCCACAAGTCCCATAATGTCATGCTTTCTACTTCATATCCCCCAGCCAACCCACAAGTGGGGAGTTCAAGGCAAAATTCTTTTTCCTGAGATGTTACTCATAAGAATAAATGCCAGTTGTGTTTCTTTTTGCATCTTCTGGTTGAAGAGCCAAAAGGAAGGCTTATATTGGAAAGCCAGAGCTCAAAAGTCCCTTGGATAACATTAAAAGCTATTCCTCTCATGTGGAAGGGACAGAATGAAGAAAGCATAGAAAAGCATGCTGCCTATATATAGAGATTAAAATGCACATTATTCAAGCTTTTCAAATAGATAAAATAATACCATGAGATTAAATTGAAATCACAAATAAAGCAAGACAATCGTGAAGATCACAAAATCAAGATAAATGTATTTTTATATTCGCGTGATATTGTAAGTTTACAACATAATTTGTTATTATATAACTTTTTTTTTAACTCAAGAGTCTAATATTAAACATATCCACTCATTTAATGGTATATCAGACTCACTTAATATAATGTCAGATTATAATTATAAACTTATAATGCTAAGTGATATTGTAACTATTACATTGCTGTTTTATATAAATAAAGAGGGAAAAGACAAACTCCAAGAAAAAAAGGCATAATTATGTTACATGTAATTACTAGGTGGGGATAGGTTTGGAGAAAAGAAATTTATTTCCTATTGTATAATTTATTATTTGACATAATAGAATTGCAAACAATCCTCTAGCTTTGAAGTATATTACTACATGATAGGAATGACATCCATAAGTTACAAACACTGCAGCCTTATTGCATGCCAATATTTCAATGTCTCGTTCAATTTACACACAGAAATGATCGACATATAAATGGTATGAATGACAATTTCAGTATCTACTTTATTGAACTAGAAAATATGTGGCAGAGGTAGAAGCAGGAGAAGTAGCAAAATGGAGCTTTTAAGGAAAAACATCTCTCACCTTCCTTCCCCAATAATGTCACTGAATTCAGTGATATTTAATGGAGAAGGCACCAGCTCTATCCCTAGATTAAGATTGTTCTTGATCTTGTTATCACTGTGCTAAGATCCAATAAATGGTGAGTGTTCAACATTAAAGCTGGCTGTTATGTCCTTAATATCACAACCAATTAAACAACTTGGTTGTGATGCAACAGGGTTCACTTCAATATACCCAGCAAGCATAGCTGCAACCCTTGACATGGGTGGTCGCATTATTGGTGATGCTTGGGTGCACAGGAGTCCCAACTTTATCATTCTTATAGCTTCATTTGCATCAAATTCAACTAGGGTTGGATCCACCAAACCTAGACTTTGGTTGCTTTCATACATAGTCCATGCCTGGAAATATTGTATAAGTAAATCTCATGCACAAGGAATGTGTCTATAAAGATGGAAGAAAGATAAGAGTTTCCTTCTTTACCCATTTAATAAGATAGATCTTGTCTTTGTCCTGGCTGTTGTTAGAGTTTGGTCTTCCACTGAGGATTTCCAAAGTAACAACACCAAAGCTAAAGACATCTGCCTTCTCAGTGAGGTGGCCACGCATTGCATACTCTGGTCCCAAATAGCCGCTGCCAATATTGCAATTAAGCTTTAAAATTTGCATGTTGAAGGTTTATTGAGATGATTTCTCTATCTATGATACTAAGTCTCTGGATTCCATTGATGGTCTGATGCTACTAAACCAAATAACATATACAAGCTACGATATAATGCAAACAATTAGATATTCCTTTGACATGGTGATTCAAGGAGCTTACATGGTTCCTGCAACCCGAGTGCTGATGTGAGTTTTCTTATCATCATAGAGCTTTGCCAATCCAAAGTCAGATTTTTTCGGACAGAGTTCAGAATCAAGCAAAATGTTACTTGCCTTCATGTCTCTATGTACGATCCTCAGCCTTGATTCCTCATGAAGATAAGCCAGTCCCCTAGCAGTTGCTAGGCAGATACTGAAGCGGGTTGGTCAATCAAGATGTAAGTCTTTATTTGCTGTATATGTGAGGCAGGAAATGTTATGGAGAGCGATTAATTTGGTGAAGAAGTGAATTCAGATGCAGATATGTTTCATTTTCCTGCATAGAGGCTAAAAGGGAGCAAATAAATTGTTCAGTCATACCAAAGAGTGCTTGGTCAAGGCTTTTGTTCTCAAGATACTCATAAACAAGGAGGCATCTCTTTCCTTCAATGTAGCATCCGTACAATTTAACGAGGTTGCGATATTGCACCGCAGATATGGTAGCAATCTCAGTAACAAATTGACTCTTCCCTTGGTGAGATGCTACTGAAAGCTGCTTCGCAGCTACTACCCGCCCATCAGAAAGTTTACCCTATAATGTATTTAAAGTGCTTTATTTAGTAACATTTTCATATAAATCTTCTATCTCATTAAAAACAGATTTTAGATTTTAAGCCTATAGCTTACCCTGTATACCGGACTGAATCCCCGTTCTCCTAACTTATTTGAGGGACTGAAGTCATCTGTTGCAGCTCTCAACTCGGCATAACTGTAGGTGTTTGGTCCGGGTGCTGTTCCAAGAAGCTCTACAAATTCAAGAGAAGTTGGAATAAAATCTACAGGTGAAATAGGAGTTAATAATATAATGTTGAAATTTTACCAACACTGGTCATAGGATTCAGCATCTAAAGTTTCAAGGCCATGGGCCATAGTATAATTTCCAATTCTCTTTCTTTTTCTTTTTTTTTTTTTGTCCTTTTCATATAATTAATCAGAAAAATGAGTAGTAAATAAAAATAAGAGCAGAGTCTATGCCAGAAGCCATATAGTATATGTGGGAGAACAAAACCAGAAATCAACGACTCATAAAATTCAAGTTTACTTCCCGTATATACAATTTGTTCTTTTGAGCACTAGGAAGGAATACTGGTCCCATGTGAATGCATTGCCACAAGATTGTGCAGCAGCATTGCCATAAGATTGAGCAGCAACATTGTCAATTAAAAAAAAAAAAATCAGATTCTCTCTCCGTCGAGGGAGATCAATGCTCCTTGCCAACCATCCAAAAGTACTACCAGAACATCTCTTCCTTTAAAACCACATTTGTCCACCCTTGTAATAAAGAAGGAAATAATTATGTCTAAATATCAGTTAGAGCTTAACCTAAAACTTGGTTTGGGGAGTCTAGAACTTCACTCAGCAGCAGTGAGGCCAGATCCACCGTAGGATATTAATATGAATCAGTTTTACGAATAATATCATGACTAATTAACTACTATTGCACTTTTTAGGACTCTTACTTTCCTCGTCAACATCTTTTCTCCTTGTCAAGTAGAAGACTACAAATATCAACATCAAGATGAAGGTGACAACTCCAACAGGAACTGCAACACTTACAATCAACCCAGTCCCATTCCCTTTTGCTGTACCTGAAGGAATCCCACTTACAGTTGGTGTGAAATTTGATCAACGGGTTTTAGGCAAACAGAGATAGACATAACTTAAGATTTTAAACAGAGATTCTTTTTTCATCTCATTTCTTACTTGATACCACGTTGGTTGCTGAAATGGATGGTCCATGGACACTTGATGGTATGCAGCATGTTCCCTTACCAGCCCAGAATAGGTGAATTTCAAGATAGTTCTCTGTCACAGTAGCATTGAAATTCTTAGTGATTGCCCTCTCAAACCCACCTGCCTCTTTTGATATGTCAAAATCCTTAATACAATGGTTCCCTGGGAGCAGTTGATTATGATTAAAATCTGGAAATGTAAAACTTAAGTTTGCAAATTTGTAACTTTAGAAACATTTGTTACAGTGGGGACTTGAATAAAATGATCGATAAATGTGATGGGGCATGCTGGCAGCAACCTGCAAGGGTTTACAAAAGGCGAGCCAATGTTGGCTCTAAAGCCTAGGCCGTAGTTTGGCACATGGCCAATGATGAGGAGTTTAATTAAGTCTTTTATTAGTACTTGTCTTTTATTAATTTTAGAGTTATTTAATTTTGGTTAAGTTCTAATTGAATTAAAACTTTTAAATAACAGTGTTATTAAGAGTTTTAGTATTTTTTTTTATATATATACGTACCTGTAGTTTCTTTTGACATTAATTAATAATATTTAAAATTTTCCAACAAGTTTTGTTATTGACGTGTGAAACAATCTTGATTGCATGAGGCAATCATCCTTAGGTGTGATTTCTAGGGCTATTTATTCTTCCCTCTCTTCTAAACTACATCCCTAACCTTCTTTTTACCGTTCAGACAGACCATTCATAGCCTAAACTACTTTTAAGCAAGTCTTGAATTCTAAAGCCCACCAGATCACTAACCTGTTCCGCATTAAAATGCAATCTGGAAAATGGTTTGCAATTCTTATGGAAATTTTACCCGTATATAAATATCAAAAATTCGCCTTCCCAGACTCTCCCAAGTTTGTGTGCTTCAATCTTTGAAAGCTGTTTCTGCAAAAAGCAAGTTAACTGTATGTCCATTCTCTAGGCCTAAGCCATAGTATCTGAGTGATCCAGGGGATATCCTTGAAGTCTGATAACGCTCTGGTGAGTTTGTGTTTCTGTTGGAGCTGTGGTGTTCAAGCTGCAAAAGTAGCAGCAAATGAAAATGAAAGCTGCACAAAATGGCAGCAAATGAAGAAGGAAGAGCTGCACAAGTTGCAGCAAAATGAAAAGATGGGAGAGCTGCACCAAAGCACGGTAGCAGCAAAGTGCAGAAAGCTAAGCTGCACAGAGGCTGCAGAGCTGCCAAGGGACCAAGCATGCTGTAGAGCTGCCAAGGGACCAAGCATGCTGCAGAGCTGCCAAAGGACGCAGCAATGTGACAGAAATGGCTGTTACATATTTCAAATTTCAAATGTATTTTATTGATGTTTTTTAATGTAAAATAGTTGTTTGATTTTTGAATTTTAAATTGAGTTTGTATTCTCCTATAAATAGGAGTAAAAGGAATGAGAAAAACTGAGTTGAAGTGATATACTTCTCTCCATCTCACCTTATGCTCTGTTTTTCATCTTCCTCTCGGTTCTCACCATTTCTTTGTTTGAAAAAAGAACAACAGTTTCTCACTGGTTCCAAGCTGTTTTGCCTATAGGCTTCAAAATTTCTGTCAGAAAACAAACCCGCATTGCTAACTGCCCCTTTCTCATTATCAATTACATTAAATGATGCAATGCCAAGAGAAGAGGTTTCAGCCTCATATTTTATCCCATCAGCAATCATCTCAGGGCCACCACCTTTGACTGCGAAGTTTGCATCTGCCAACATCAATATTTAAATATGCTTGGCAAGTTACTCAAGAACAATAATTAAAATTAGAGCAACAGAAATTAATACCCAATAAGTTACTGAAGCTGTCATTTTATAACAGATCTAAAACAGCAAGTAAATGTTGACTCTTTTCAAGTTCTAGCAGGACGAACTTAATGTCTTTTTACAATTGCGATTGATGCATGCACATTTCGATTGGCCAAGCTCAGAATTATTGATACTAGGAAAGTACGAATAGATAATTTCTCACTGAGAGTCTAACAGCACTCTAAAATACATTTTTCTATGCCTTTTCCCCTCGACTACAAGTTTCTTTCTGTGATTACAGCATAATGCCAAGTACAAGATATATCAAGCCATGCAGAAGTTTACAGCGTGGAGAGTTCTTGTTGCACGGGAAGCTTCTTTGAAGGCAATTCAATCCTGGTAAAAGACTAAGAATAAATTAAATAGTTATTTCTTATTAGTGCTATAAATTATAAAAGAATGCCTTCCTGTGTAGAAAAAATTGCAACCAATTTTCTTATGCCTTTAGATTAAGGAGGATAGAAGAGTAAAACTCAGACAGATATTTAAGAACTACAACTCACCTTATGTTGGACCTGTCAAATGTGAAGTTGTTGCCTACTAGATTCCTACATGATACCAAGCAACAACACAAATGAACATCTGTCATAGCAGTTGTAACAATCCAATATTTCATGAATTTAAAGTGACAGATACTCTTTCTAGAAATAATATACATAGGTGTGTCCTATGTTACTATCATGGTTCTTGATAACCAAAAAGACGTCCAGAGGACTTTTAGTTGAGCATTGGAATTGAGACCGTCAGCACAAGTTAGGTTCCAAAATGAGAATAAAACTAGGTCACTAGCTCTGACAAGGATTTAATGGAGATGGTTGGGGGAGATCTTGAACTTTTTTCTTTCATTTGTACTGCATTAATAATGTGACAACAATTGAAAGAAAAATAAGCTCAAGCTACATACAGTTGTAAGACTGTGTTCACCCATGAAGGAAAGATTCCAAACAGAAAATTGTAAGATAAATCTCTGCATGAGAAAGTAGTTAAAATACAATAGCAGAAAGTGAGCAGAAGTTATTGATTCAAATAAAGAGAATGCTTAGAAGGGTATGGCTTACATATTCTTTAGGTTTACACTCTTATCATTAGGGATGGTACCAGACAGACTATTATTTCCGAGAAACCTGGACATTGACAGTCTATAATACAGTCAATTTTTTTTTTTCTTTTGATGGTTAATACCATCAGGTTAATGGCATTAGGTTGACCAGAGAAACTAACGATGAAATTGACGATCAGCACCAACAACCACACCCAGATATCTGAATGGCAGGGAACCCACTACACAATTTAGCTTATCAGCCATTTCTTGTAGTTCAGAACCTTCAACATTCAGACCAATAATAGCACTTTTGAAGTAGTTAACTTTGAGCCCAGAAACAAGCTCAAAACTCCTCATGATACACTTGATAGCCTAGATATTCTGTTCTGTTGCTTCACAAAAGAAGATGGAATCATTAGCATACTGAAGATGGGTAACTTCCAAGCCCCTATCACCCACCACAATACCTTTAATTTGATCTTCTTCCACTGCTTTTTCAGTCAATCCATTGGAAGCCTCAGCTACAAGAAGAAATAGGAATGGAGCAAGGGGATCCCTTTGCCGAAGTCCTTTGGACATATGAAACTCCTTCATAGGACTCCCATTTACTAATATTGAAACTGTAGTTGTATGCAAGCATTCTTTAATCCATGATCTCTACTTGGAGCAGAACCCAAACTGCTCCATCATTGCATCCAAAAAGTTCCAATTAACGTTGTCATAGGCTTTCTCAAAATCTGCTTTAAATATTATTGCTTGCTTTTTAGTCCTCTTCACCTTATGCAAAATTTCATTTGTAATGACAATGCCATTTGCAATTTGTTTACCACTAATGAAAGCAGATTGAGTGGGACTTCTTATGAGATTCATCACCTTTCAAAGTCTATTAGCTAGGATCTTTGAGATAATCTTGTACATGCTTCCTATTCAAGATATTGGCTTGTACTCCCCCAGCCTCTGTGGTGATTCCTTCTTTGGGATCAAGACCATAAAGGATGCATTACTACCTTTCACAAGCTTGCCATTTCCCTAAAAGTCTTTCACAAATGCAAAAATGTCTTCTTTAAGGGTAGGCCACATTTTCTTAATAAAATTGAAATTAAAACCATCCAGACCTGGACTTTTAGTCCCATTACATGCCCACACCACATCTATATTCTCGTCTTTAGTAAATTCTGCTACCAAGGAGTCTCTATCTTTTGTAGAAAACCTTTTGAACTTGTTCAATGTCAGCCTCGGTCTGATCCACTCCTCCTTTTTGAATTTCTCCTTGAAAAACTAACTGATAGTAGATTTAACCACTGATACATCCTCCACCCACACACCATCCCTTATAATGCCATTAATACTGTTCTGCTTCCTTCTCTTTATAATGCATCCATTGAAGAACTTGTTATTAGCATCACTTTCCAATAACCATCTCTATCTTGCTTTCTGGTGCAATGTAGTAGCTTTGGCATTGTTCCACTCCCATAACTTTTGAAAAAGTTTTGTTCTTTGCTCCACTTCCAGTGTAAACAATGAACCTCTCTCTCCTCTTTCATCTAGTATCGTAATCTCCTCCCTAATCTTCTCCATATTTTCCTCAATCAATCCAAAAACTTCCTTATTCCATATTTTCAAGTCCTTTTTCAATCTCTTCAAATTTTCTTTGAGTTTATAGCCTCCCCAGCCTTTTGTATCATAGTTGCCCCATTTCTCCTGTACAAAATCCTTGAAGCCTTCATGTTCCAACCAGCGGTCCAGAAATCTAAAAGGTATTGGACCCCAATCAATGCAGGAGCTTTTTAATAGGTTAAATACCCTTTTTGTCCCTTTACTATTAAAAAAGCTCCTTTTTGGTCTCTATACTGAAAATATCTTCTTTTTGGTCCTTAAAGTTTAAAAACCAACCCCTTGTGGTCCCTCCATTAATTTTTTGTTGAGCTATCACATTAATTAATGGAATTACTTAATTATTTTTTTATATAAATGATATTAGGAATGACGTGAAAATTATGTGGATAAAATTATAAATCCATGTAAGTATAAAATTATGTAGATAAAATTATAAATCCATGTAAGTATTTTCATTTAAAATTTTTGAACCATGTGTACAAATTAAAAATTTTACTTCTTAATTATGAATTAAATGAATTTAAATATAATTAATTTTAATTTCTTCATCTTTTTCTTTCTCCTCGTCCTTATCCTCGTCCTCGACTCACCTTCATCCTCAAGCATCATCATATCGCCGTTTATCTTCACCATCGTCTTCATCATCTTCACCATTTTCTTTGCCATCCCTTTCTCCATGCTCTTCGTCATTATGGGTTCCGTGAAGAACCCAGTTGCAGGGTTTCGCAAAGAACCTAGTTGCTGGGTTCCGCGAAGAACCTAGTTGCTAGGTTTCGCGAAGAACCTAGCAACTGGGTTCCTTGAAGAACCCAATTTCTGGGTTCCTTGAGGTTTTGCAAGGAACCCAGATTTGGGGGTTCCTCAAAGAATGGGTTCCTCGCAAAACCCAAGTTTTGGATTTATTATGAAACTCAAATCATGTTTGATATTTGGGTTTGAAACTGCAGATGATAGATTTATGTGGTTGTGTTTATGTTGCTGTGTTTATGTTGCTATGAACTTCATAACTTGGTGCATTCATGATCTAGATTCAACAGGAAGAAAGGATTAAGAATCT